TGTTTGGTTAAATTAATGGATGGTGCTAAAAGCTAACAAGGTGTGAACAAAAAGCGTATCGGGTGAGATGAGGATTGTGTTTGGTTTTGACGATGGATGACGAATCTAAAACCCTTTCATGCATTTGTCGCATCCATCTTTCCTTTTGGACCAGTGATTTTCGAGTTTCAACTTGACTCCTGGAGTGAAAAGAAACAAGCACTCGATTACAACTGGAACTCTGAGGATAGTGTCTGGAATCCCGTTTAATATCTCTTTAAACGAGCACTTGTAAAAAGATACGAGGTTCCTATATACATACAAGTTTGACGATGCACGTCCAGCCATTATAAGACTTCAACCGTATGCTAATAAAGAACATACGTCATGTGCATCTTCGTACATTCTTATACGCGCATACTCAACGTGTTATATGTATTGGAATCACTTTTGGCTCATGGGTTTTCTTGTTCTAACTTTCAACTCAACTCATGATGAATGAACGACAACTGATCCATTTGATATGGTCAAAAAGATCATCATATGTTTTCATGCACTGTCGTTTATACTAAATGTATCAAACGCAGTATACTTTACCACAGTTCTACTTATCTTTGATTCAGCTGAATTTGTTCATGTTTTAGTTCTTTTCAACATTCATAATGAACAACTCTGATAAGCAAAACAGTAATTTATTGAATAACCAGTAATACGATATAAACAGATAAAAAGTAAAATACAAAAATTGAGAAAAAGTCATGGACCATAGGTTGGTTTTGTCCAAGGAAGCACAATAATGAATGTGGTGAAACTTAAGGTTGTGAATGGCAGTGACAAGTTACCAGTCAGTCAAATGGTCAATCATTATTACCTCTTTTTTCATATGATCATTTTTCCCTATATAGATTCCATGTCTCTATAATATTTATTTTTATATATAATATTTAAAAAAAAACTTTTAATTATTTAATTAAAAGTATAAAATAAATTTTAGAGTAAATTACAGATTTGGTTTATCTGGTTATTAAAACATGTGGATCAGGGTTTTCAGGCGAATTAATTGCAGATAGCGTCATTGTGGTTTCAGCTTTGTTATGGATTAGGTTGTAAGTCATGGGTGTTTTCGTCTTTTCCCTTTTGTTTTTTTTTTCTTTTTTCTTTTATATTTATAGAATACTAGAAGGGTATTTGCGCAATGCAACGTTATACATCTCGATTTTAATGTTTCTTTTTATTTATTTATTTTTTGTCTCGGTCGATGTTATAATACGGTTTTATATGGTTTTGAGAAAGCGATAATGTTTTTATTTTTGAATAAAATATAAATATGAATATATCATAAAAAATGAAGAAAAAAAAAATATTGGTATTAGTATCAAACTAATTATTTAAATTTTCTCCTTTTTTGTGTATTTCTTTAATTTATTTTTTTTATTTTTCGTTTAATAATATAATTTTTTATAAAGATAATAATTAAGTGTTTTATTAGAAGTCAATGATTATCTTAATTGTATTTTAGCTTTTTTTTTATATTTAAATGAGATGTTTATCATCTATTTAATTATATTTATCTGCAATTAGTTACATGAATTCAAACACAGAGCTTTAATAAGTTGTACTTACGCATAATTTACTAGTAATATTGAATTTTAAGTAATATGCATCAATAAACACTACTTCATGTATAAAAAATGGTTTTTAAAAGTTTTTATCAAATGTTTTATAATATAGTATGGATAGTTAAAAGATATTACATCATGTATTATATGTTATATTATTTCCCTCCTTTTTAATCGCGCTTTTCTTGACAAAAACTCATGGCCTCGCAGGTGTAAACCTTTTCCCACCTTTAGAAATCGTCGCCTTCCTGGTCAACAATGATGGTAGCCCGTCGGTGCATTCATTGCCCGAGAAATACCAGCACCCGATCATCTGCTACATTGGCAATTCACTATTTTATACACCATTGCCTCTCATTCACCATCCCCTGCATAGATCTCCTGCTCTGGTAGGTTCTTCGGCTTCCATCTCCGCCCCTACACGTATTTCCTCCTCCTAAACCCCTTGTTCCTCTCCCTCCCTCCTGCTACTATTCTCACCGCCTGTATCGAACCTCTCGTAATGTGTGAAGATCAAGAATCTCTTATCGATCTAGAACAATCAACCTCAAGATGTTCGTTTATCGTTCTTCATCAATTTGTACAGCCTCATTGATTTGTTTTTTTTATTTAATTAATTTATTCATAAGTAGGTATCTGTCTAGGTTTAAATTTTCTGATTCAAACGAGTTTTGTGTAATAATCTGTACATGTTTTTATGTCGTTAAAGCTGCTAGTGTTAATTGTTGATGTTATGGTTGAATTTGAGTTCTCGTGATCAGGGTATCGAGATTTTGTCATATTTCGTGTATGTTTTGGTGTCAGATGACTGAAGAAGCAGTGGAAGCCAAAAAAGATGACCCCAGAAGAGGTATCTATTATAATACGATAAAAACTGTATATTCTTTAACAGTACGTAAATGGACCAAAATATCCTCAATTTAACGAAGTTAAGATCAACGACGTTAAGGCAAGTAACTCAACCACAATAACAAGTGAAAACCACAGTGCCTATAATACAAGTAATCATTTCGTTTGGTAGACCCAGTCCAAATTTTGTATATAACCATTAACCACATGAACGGAATTTATAATTTACCCCAAATTTTAGTAAAAATAAAAATTGGATAATGATGTAATTATTAATAAGGAAAATATAAATTTGAATAAAAAAAATTATAAAAGAAATTAAATGTTTAATAAGTACATAATCTAGACAAAGAGTATTTGATTTAAGTGAGAAAATCTGTGATCTTATTTATATGATTTTTTATTTGTGTAAATTATATGAAAAAGTAAAGTATTTTAACTTGATTCTTATTTTAGGTAACGTATTTTCAAAACCTCCATTTTGGTACCTAAGATGTAAAGTTTTAAATATTTAAGTACTCAAATAAATGGTTGAAGCATTAACTGGTTATCATGCTGATGTGGCGAGTGATGAGATGAATTTGGGTTGAATAGCAAATAATACTGAGGTGGATACCACATCACCCGTCACATACCGATATTTAAATGTTTAAAACTTTACATCGTAGGTATCAAAATGGAAGTTTTGAAAGTATGTTACTCAAAATAGGAATCTGTAGATATTTCCAAAAAAAAATGTTATACAAAAAATTGTAGTGTTTAATTTAAATGATGGTTGAATATGTATTTTGAAAATTAATTTTGGATCATTTTGATTTTAAACCAGTAACATTTTTCGGGTTTAAATTATCTGATATCACACGTTTTCTCAACGTATATCCAGACACCAATTTAAGATGCATTAATAAAAGTTTTTAACTGATTTTCATATTCCTATATTACCTATCCATAAGATAATTATTCATTTTTTTAACTGCTAAAATAATCAGTAACCATGTTTTTTAAGTGGCTAAACTTATTTATCAGCCAATAACAAAAACTGAATATGTTCTGATTCTGATTCTGATTTAAACTTAATATCTGAGTTACTTGTCACGGGAATTAATCACCAACCTATGTCATACTTATTCCATTCATTTGATACTCAGAATTCGTATATAAAAGGTTTCAAAAAGAACACGTTGCCATCATTGATATCACTTGTATTTTTTTTTTTCAGTTTACGAGTTTAGTTTTCAGTGATTTTCATGTCACATCAACACAAAATCAAAGTTGTATTTCAATTTTTCTCACCATCATCTGAGAAAAAACGTCAATTTCTTTAAATTGTCGTATTAGCTGTTTTATTACAAAAACCAGATCATGTTTTTTTTCCAAAAATATAAGAAGACAGTTATCCTTTGGAAGATGATACTGATTTTCAATAGATTTTATCAGAATAATAATGAGTTCACATTATTTAACGTCTTTTTAGGCACACATTTTTTTGGTTAAATAAATACTAGTTGTGTACCCGCGCAATGTGGCGGAAGCCGTGAATTTTTAACGATTTTTGAAGTTTCACTGGTTTTATTAGAGAAAATTTAACGATGATATAAGTTACACTTGGTCTTTACATATTAATACAATTGGAATAAATAAGAGTTATGGTTCCAATTACAGTCTATCGATGAAAAAAATTGTATGACAGTTTAAAATCAATATATTTAAGATCCAACATATTTAAACGACTCCACAATGTGTTCGATTTACATCAAGAGCAAAGAATCAAGAGATCGAGAGTGAGACCGAAAGTTTTACAGCAATTGAATGAGAGAATTTTTAATAACTCATGGTGAATATCAATTTGAATGTCACTTTGGGGGATGGAGAGAAGACATAGAGATTAAGAGATAAGTGAAAAATGTCAAAAGTATATTGGAAACATAAAAAGAAAATGTAATAATGTGCAGTGGTAACTTGTATTATATGTTATTTTAATTGTAGATTAAGAGATTTTTAAGACTAAATGCATAAAGTAGTAGTACTTAATGTATTATGAGTTATTTTTAAGACTTTGTGTATAAATGTATAGTACTTTGAGCATTAAAAGATGAAAACGTGGAGCTCGCAGAGCCACACTTTGCTAACCGGGCGACTATTTTATGCAAATGTCAAAAAATTATCTGTTTTACAATAAACTCCTACGAATTCAGCTGAAAAGCCATTTAAAATCCTCTAAAAAGAATTAAAAAAACATAATAAGAGTATAAATGGTCATTTACTAAACTCTTACTGTATAAGCGTTTTTACCGATTGAGCATGACAAGTACCAAGAATCTTACCCGGTAATAAGTAAAAAGACTATTTCCCAGCAAATGTTTACCGTGTTTAAAACGTTCACCAACAATCTATTTTGATAGCCTAGAATGTTACATGATAAAGTAAGTGAGTTGAGGATGATTTATCTTTCCAGTAAACACTTACCCGGTAAGCATTTGATAAATGATATTATATTTCTAAAATTCATTTTAATAAATATCTAATAATAATTAGTGCAAATATTAAATGGTATCAACGTTTAAATTTTTTCCGGCAGCCCTGACACGTGATTTCCAAACACGAACCCAATTGGCGCGTGGCTCTTTCCTTCATCTTCTCCACTCGCTCCACCTCCTCACGTGCCCTCTCCCACGTGTGCCTTGCACGTGCGAATTCCGACTGCGCCATCTCCATTTCCCGCCTCGTCATCTCCATCACGCGCTCCACGTACGCCTTCTCCATGGCCGCTATTTGATCGGAAGTTCGCCATTTGACCGTCGGAGGCGGCGGTTTCATTGGACGGAGACTGATCGATAGTTGCAGGTCTAAGGAAGGAGGATCCAACGGACATTGGACGACGACGTCGTCTGATGATCGGAAAGTGAAGAGATCCGACGCCGTCGGCCATGGTGAGTAGGAGGACGGTGGCAGAGGGAGGAGCTGTAATTCCTTCCGGCGATCTTCCATTTTTAAATTTTGGAGAGAGAATGGAAAGAAGGTGGTGGCTTCTCCTTCTACCATATATCTTTATATATATATATAACCCATTCTTTAAATAAATAAATAAAACGAGTTGTTTCATATAGAATGTTAACAGGTTTGGTCGATCAGATTGAAAACATTTGAACAAACCAACTTAATGGTTGCAGTTTGAAAATTCTCAAACTGCTTACGGTTTGAAAATTCTCAACACAACTCATACCATATGAGTTGGTCGGGTTATTCAGGTTGGTCGAGTTGGGTATTTTGGTACATCAAAATCTTCTTCTAACCTTGAATATGTTGTTTTTTCTAGTCTACTTATAATTTTTTTTTTCATCATCAACCATTTCGTACAACTTATTCCTACTTATTAAATCTTAAGTATATTACGTTCATTAATTTTCTCAGTTTTCATATATATATATATATATATATATTCACAGTTACTGAACATAAATACAAATGAATTATATAGAGATGGAGAATAGATTGAAAATATATGTATATTAAGAGATTACGTGATAATGTAATTTTCTAATACACATATTAATAGAGACTCAACAATATCCAAGAAAGAAAAGAACATCGGATTGGGTTGGATTGAGTTTGAAATAAAGTAACTCAATATCAACTTAATACATATGGTTCGAAAATTTTACAACTCGATTAGAAATCAGGTTGTTTCGGGTTGAGTTATTTCAAATTGGGTTAGGTTGATCGGGTTTTTGAGCACCCTAGTTTCATATATGAATATATTCATTTAGGAACCTTAAATATTTTAGAAACGCTGGAACAACCTATTTTGTGAGTATTCGTGATGAATATTTTCTCATGAATACCCACAAAATAGGTTTTCCTTGCATTCCTCATATATTTTGTGTTCCTAAATGAACCTCCCTTTATAAGTTAATTTTATATGTAAGAGAATATGCAACATTTGTGTAGTTAACTCAACTGATAATAAGTCTTGGTCCTTAAGATATTCTTATGAGAAATCATCGGTTTGAGTTGTAGCAACTAACGATTTTTATAGGTTTTTAACATTTACATGGTTCTTGTTTCATTTGTCCCTCACTCTCTACGTACCAGTTATAATTTCTTTTATTATCTACATACTTCATATAAAATTGTTTTTCTACGTGTTTGAAGTTTCACCTCAAAAGATACACACACACACACACACATATATATATATATATATAAAGAGAGAAAGAGAGAGAGAGAGAGAGAGAGAGAGAGAAAGTGTGTGTAAGCAAGGTGTTTAGACGTTCATTTGCAAACGTAACTTTTGTTGTGAAGTAGGGGACAAACGATAGCATGTCACTTGTCCCATACATTCACGGGATTTTCATCGTAAATGTTGTAAAAAAGTTCACGTTCAAATGGGAACAATGGGAACACATGTCGTACTCTCATTTGTTTCCAGATTCACAACAAAAGTTAGTTCGCAACTGGAGTTTTCTTCTTATATATTCTCATTTTTTATAAATGTTTTATAAAAGGAGATTCAAAGGGGTGTTATATATATATATATATATATATATACACACAAACACACACACAAAAAGTCACGTGAGAATAGGAGTTAAAATGATAAATGTAAAAGGTGGTTTGGACCCTTGATCAGATTTAATTGTAAAACAACCAAGAATTGCGTTTTAGAATGAAATTGATCTAGTGTATCTCATTAGTGTTGATCTAATTGTTATTTTTAATTAAGATTGATCTAAGAGTGAAGATTTTTTCTTACTTTTCTCACCATAACTTTTACTTTCACCGGAATCCAACTATATATATATATATAATCATTTATCTTCTAAAGAACCAAAAATTCTAAAAAAAGGTTTAATATTTTTTGAGAATATAAACCCATTGGGAAATTTCGAGAATACCCTTTTTTCCCATGCAAAATCACCTGAGACAAACTTGGTATTATGGAAAGACGTATATACCCTTGGGTTGGTGTTTGTCATATCTAGATGGTAAGCCATGAATTGGCAAGGGTAATATGGTCATATGCCACTTCTTTTTCAAATTATTGTGTAGGTGACGAACAATGTTTTAAGACCACATATCTTCAAGGGATTTAATTTGTATATAATATATTCTTGTAAGTAATTTAACACTGTTACTGTAACATGTTAAGCTAATCATATCAGATATTATTCGTTTTATCTATATCTGAACTCACGATTAAAATCTAATGGATTTGATGATTTGATCAAATCCAATCAGTGACAGACCAAAGATTTATGTCAAGCGGGTGCACCTTTAAAATGGATCAAAAACCACTAAAATCAGCCATTGTGTTTTAAGCGAAATTCCACCGTTTTGAGAGACCTTTTAAGTTTATTGGTTAATTTCAAATGATTTTCTAGAATCTTTTGGTTGATTTTGATGGACTTGTTTAGTTTGTTGGTTGATGTTCTTTGTATTTTCTAATATTTCGAAACACCGCTCAAAGTTTAGCAGATGTACATTTCATACCCAGAAAAAATTACTTATGGAATTTTGGGCATGAATAGGTTTGTCCTTGAATCTAATCGATCATTGGATGTTGGATTTTGTCATCTGATCCAATCAAATTAACAACCAATAATACAATGGATGATTAGATTGGATCCATCCATTGGATTAGATTTAATCCTTCCAATGTTTTGATCCAATTTTCTGCCAATTAACCCATCATTTCAACACATTATTAAAGTATTTTCATCATTTCTTATAAAACACTACATACAAATATTAACTAAAAATAATATTGTGAAAAAAAATTATATATATGTGTGTGTGTATGTATGTATATGGAGATTCGAATATAAACCCTAAATTAGTACAAAATATGCAAACCAATCAAATGAGTCATTTATAGGAATTATGAAAGTTCATTTATTATGATCAGGGTATTTATAGAATAAGATAAGAGTTCATTTATTATAATTAACGCTTTAGATCATGAAACAATATATATATATATATATATATAGGGGTCTATTCAAGGGAGAACTGAGTATTTGTGGTAACTGTGAGAACCAATATTAACCACAAATCAATAGATAAATTAGGAAATTTATAAATTTGGTAATTTTAAATTAAAATCTTAATGCAAGGATATTTTTGGTATTTTAAAACTCTCATCTCTTCTCTCTCCGGCCACCGTCCTCCGGTGATACCACTATGATACCACTGTGATACCTAAAAATATTGACTCTGTTAAACAAAAGATACACTGTGATACCTAATCATATATAAGATGCATAGTGATACTACTGTGTTACATCTTCGATCGACCACACAAACGACATCAATGTGATACCCAAACACATATATGATGCATTGTGATACCATTGTAGTATCACCGGAGGACGGTGGCCGGAGAGAGAAGAGAGGAGGGAGGAAAGTTTTAAAATACAAAAAATATCCTTGCATTCAAATTTTAATTCAAAATTGCCAAAATTATAAATTTCCTAATTTATCTATTGATTTGTGGCTAATATTGGTTCTCACAGTTACCACAAACTAATTAGTTCTCATTTGATTAGGCATATATATATATATATATATATGAAATCAGATATTTATTAGAGTAGATGGATGGTTGAGATTGATTTGTATGTTTTACAATAATTAAAGGGGTTAAATTTAAAACATAGCATTAGTCATAGAAAATTCGTTTCACAATTATATCTACCACATAAGCCATATATATATATATATATATATATATATATATATATATATACATACACACAGGATCACGTGAGATCAGTTTGTTTTCGTGAGACTAGTGATACCATTTTTTAACACTTGAAACTTCACAACGAAACGCTATGAAAGTAACATCCATAATGTTTTTGTTGTGAAGGTTAGGCTTTTTTCTGTGAAGTTTCAAGTGTAAAAAAGTGGTCTAACAGGTCTCACGTGAAACCAATATATATATATATATATATATATATATATATAAACTTGATCGAAGAACCAGCGTTTATTGAAGAAGCTATAGAGTCGATTACAAAAAGTACTAGTTTGAAAGGCTCGTTGGTATTGATCCGCTACGGGATTTACATAGGACTTCTTTTTCTAGTAGTAAGATTTAGGGTTTTTTCGTTCCTTCTCTTCGATAAGTCAACTAGCGGAGGGTAAGGCTTTTAGCGTACCTTTGATCTGTTGAGCGAGAGCCCTTCCACATGGGATTCCCGGATCTCTCTCTCTCTCTCTCACACACACACACACACACACACACATATATATATATATATATATTGAAGTATATAATATTTATATACGACAAATAAAACAAATAAACTCGCACACATTCCTCACCTTTTGTAGGGTTTGAACCCCTAATCTCATTAGGTCAATGACATACATACCGCTAGGCTTTATAGACCACTATATATTAGTTGTTAGACATAGCAAAAGTCAGTCATGTCTTGCTATGTTCTTAATTATGTTAGGGACTCATTTTGTCAATCATATAAATTAAGAGATGCAAAGTGTAAATTTCAGGGATTATTTTCACACACAAAAAAAAACAAGACTTTTGTAGTTGTACTCATAGATCTCCATTATCATACCTAAGATTCCTTTAATGAAAGATGCAAATAAAATCCTCCAAAAATAATTGAGGGGTGATGTGATTTATGTGCCGATTTTATCATTATGAATGAAATAAAGGGTATGTTTGTAACTTATATATAAACATGTATATGGGGTTCATTCAAGGAAGAACTAATTAGTTTGTGGTAATCGTGAGATCTAATGTGAACCCCTCGTTTGAGATATTTAAGGGTATTTCTTAAATATGCTAAAATGGTAATATAGTAATTTTATTTATGATAACTAATCAAAATATTTAATTAAATTTTTTAGAAGGAAATATTTAATTAAAATTAGTAACCTAGTATATCAATTACCTAATGTACATTGTATTTTAAAGATGTTTGTGAATCAAAGTGTATCATAATGATAACATGCACAATGTT